GCCCCCCCCCGCGCCCGCGGGGCGTGGCGCAGGCCCCGCCCCACGGCCGCTGGGACTGACGCAGGCCACGCCCCATGGCCCGCTTGGACTGACGCAGACCACGCCCCATGGCCTCAGGGACTGACGCAGACCACGCCCCATGGTCACACTCAGCCTGCAGGGGCTCTGTGCATACAAACATCAGGTTACCCAAGGCAGCAGAGTCCCTGCATCTAGAACAGTTCCCCGTACAGGGCCTGTGGGCAGAGGGCAGCCAGGTCACTCATTTTCTGCAGAACCTCAGCCAGAAGGCCAGCAACAGACGCTGGTGTCCTGAGAAGCAGACCCCAAGGCTTCCCTCCTCCCAGACAGGACTGACCAAGAGTGGAGAGCCCGCCTGCTCCATCACCCTGCAGTGGGTCCGCATCTGCTGTCCAGGCTGGAGACAAGTTCAGGGGCAAAGCCAGCAGAGAAGAGACTGCATCTCTCAGAGGCAGCACAAGGTGGGGGGCAGTCACCCGAGACAGCCCGTGGGGACGTGTGCTCTGGAAGTGCTGGCAGAGGTGGACGACGGTGGCCAGGGCAGCGGTACCTGCTTCCTGAGGCTTGTGATGGTCTTCTGCATCTCCAGGACAAATCCCTTGAAGCTGCCCATCCCTGGCCCCTCTGTGTGCTCCTGGGAGGCTGAGGAGGTGTTGCTGGCACGCTGCCTGTGCCTCCCCATGCTGGGAAGAAGAGAGGTGTGGGTGGCCCCGTTCTGAGCCGGGCCCCCTCTTTACGGGCACGGGGACAGCGGCTCTGACCCACAGGGCCCAGGCCCAGCAGGCAGGAAGAGGCCGTGGGCCAGACCCAGCTCCCGGAGCACCCTGCTGGGTGTGCTGCCTGTCACAGGCATTGCACCGGGTCCACGCGGGGCCGACTGCACGGCTTCCCTTGCACCACGCACCTCAGGACTCTCCGGGGCCGCGCGTTCTTGGTGGGCTTGTCTTCCTGGTAGCTGAAGTCCAGAGACCGCCGGCCACGGAAGTGGTGTGAGAAAGCGCTGAACTGCCCCCTGGTCCTACAGTCTAAACAAGAGTGTGAAGAGCATGTCAGCAGTGGGGGCAGTCTCGAGAGGACATCACACACACCCTGCCAACCACCACCATTTTACAGCGAGCTGTGACACACAGATACCTGGGACCCGTGTGGACAGTGACCGAGGGCAGCCACTCCTGCCTGGCACCAGGCCCTGCCCGATGCCCGGGACCCCCGGCCTCACATGGCTTCTCTGCACCTCAGCAGGTCTCCCAAGGCCACCCATACTCACTGCGTCCCTGCTGTCTGGGCCTCCCTGGTCTCCTGTTGTCCACACTGAGCCCACAGCTTCAGGTGCCAGTCTGCTCACTGTGGGCACCTTGTCCTCACCCAGCGCCCAGCTCACTCCCACTGGGAGGCAGGCTTTGTCTTCTCGTCCCCAAGGGCCCATTCCTACAGCCCCCCGGTGAGCAAGGGGTCGTGGCGGTGTCACACTCCCAGGCCCAGGTGAGTGCTTGAGCCTCAGCTTTGTGACACACATTAATGGTTTATGGTGAAGTGGCAAGGTGCCTGCAACTCCTGCACTAGCTCGGAAAACACGCACAGCACCCACACGTGCACACATGTGCACACACATGCACAAACATATATGCAAGCACATGTGTGCACAAGCACACATCAGAATACACACATGCATACACACACCATGTCTATACACACGTGCATGTGTGCACACATAAAAAGAGATTGTTGCTAACCCATGGCAAAACGTTGAAGGATGCATCTCTGAAGCTCGAGAGCTTTCTGAAATACTTAAGTAAATGTGGCAGGGAGTTCAGAGCTCACACGTGTGTGCACATGCACACGGCGTGTGTCCTTAACACATCAATCCCTATGAAGAAGTTGCAGTCCATAACTTTGGTCAAAAGAAAGGGACACGGGACCGGCAGATGGCGTAATGATGATGTCACTGGACACCCAGTAGTCCGCTGTGGTTCACGTCCCGGATCTGGCAGCTTGTCACTCATGCAGGGCACGTGTGCATGTGTGCCCAAGATCCCGAAAGGAGAATGGAGAAGGGACTGTGGCATGGTCGTCCCAGTGACTTCTCACCTTCTGTCTCTCTCTGTCTGTGTCTCTGGTGAGCACATGAAAAAAATCTCTCTCAAAAAGAAGATGCTGCATGTGCCTGGCAGTGGATTCCGAGGGCTCTTACCTGCATCTGTATATACACGTGTGCACATGAGTGTGAGCACACACACAGTATTGATCAAGAGGCACGGCTCAAGGAAACCTGCTTTAAACGTACTTTCAGAAGGCCAGACTGAGAAGAGAAAACGAGGCCCACACCCGATCCTGTCACACGCCGTCTTCCTTCTGTTTGCCCGTTCTAGATACAGCGTCTGGGCCGGAGTGAACACAGACGACGCCTTCTCAGCGTGAGGCCAGTCTGCTCTGAGAAGGAGACCATCGGAGCGGAGCTGTGCCAGCACGTGCTTTGCGCGGCTAAGCCCCGGCCCTTGTCTCCCTGAGTCTGGGTTTTCTGGACGCAGAGACCGGAGAAGCAGAGCAGGGAGCCAGCCCGGTCGGCTGGAAGTGGCTCCTGCGTCTGAGGGTCAGAAGGCTTTCAAGAAAACAGCTTTTGCACACACAGGACGAACCCCTGACTGCCTGTGGGAAAGCCCCTGAACCGGCGAGCCCAGCAGAGCAGGAAGACCAAGCCAGGCAGGCTCCCAGCCAAGGGCGAGAGCCTGAAGGGCCGGGAGAACCGAGGGGCAGCAAGCCAGTGCCATCCCTGAACGCGCACACACGCACCCTGACACTACACGCATGTCTGAACACGTGCACGTGTGTATACAGATGCATACAAGTTACCGACCTGGGGAGGGGATGGACAAGCAGATGTAAACGCACATCACATGAGCACCACGCACACTGCACATGCTCCTATGGACACACATCCACACGGACACAGGCACGCACGTACTCAGGAGAAGCTACCAAGAACCAGCTCCACTGGGTCAACTGGGACTTCGTCCTCACCACTCAGAACAGCGTCCCAGCCAGGCACGCGCCCTGGGCCCACGGGGTGGAGGAGCCGCTGCAGCTCTGGGCTGTGTGGGCCTCTCCTACCGGCCAGGTGCCACCAGCAACTCTCAAGAACACGCGGTGCCCAGAGCAGGCTGCGACCCGCCCCACCAGCTGTGAGGCTCGGGAGTCCCAGCCCCATCTCACCCCGTCTCCCACACAAGACCTCAGGGCTGTGCACTCGGGGCTCCAGACATGGGCTGGTCTCTAGTACCCACGGGCCCTGATCACAGTTTGAATAAAGCCAAAAGGACATTCAAATTCAAACATGGTGATGGAGGTTAACCACGGCGGGGTTCCGGGATGCACGCAGGCCGGGCCGCCGGGACGGCACACAGCAGATGCTGAGCAAGGCAGGCAGGCCGGAAGCCAGCAGCCTTCCCACGGTGGCCCCGGCGAGCCTCTGCCTTCTCGGCCCCCGAGCCCAAGTCCAAGGCCATCGCACACCCATGCATGTCCCACCCCCTCATGGGGGTCTCCCAGGCCTCTCCCTGGTCAACCCTGCCAGACGCCAAGAACATGCTCACATGCCAGAGAAGGCCGGTGTGTGCCGGCTTCCCGGGCTTGCTTCCTCCTGCCCAGGGGCACAACGTGTGCAGCCCCCTCCGGGGACCGAGTTCGTGGGGCTACCCTGCCGAGGCCTCCTCACACGGAGCCCGGTGCCAGCCAGTCCTCCAGGCCGGGCTCCCACCACCTCCCTGCTGGCCGCGGCCGCTCGCCGAGGCTGCCCGCATCCCAGCGGCTCGCCCCACGGAGGCCAGCACTCACCCTCACAGCAGTCCTGCCACACCCTGAGGTCCACCCTGGGGATCTCGTCACAGCTGACGTAGCCGTGGGGGAACTCGGCCACCCTGAACACGTCCGGCTGCACACGCGTGATGTTGTCGGAGTTGTCGCACAGGATCCTGGCCAGGGACGCCTGCTTGAGCTGGGTCAGCTGGGCGGGGGTGAACACCCCTGGGTTTTCATACCACAGCCTGCATGCCACAAAGGGCTGGTCAGAGAGAGACGGCCCGTGACACCGCTGGGTGGCTGCACCGCAGCACGGGTCGCGGTCAAAACGGCCTCGGCTCTCGTTCCGGGCCACTCACAGGGCAGACCCGAAGCAAAGAACTGGGGGTGGAAGGAGACGGCCCTCTGATCACTACTGAGCCGCAGCAGCTGCCGGTGAGCTCCTGGGGGCGGAAGGCCCACACCTAGGACCTCAGTGAGGAGTCCCACAGACGCCTGGCCTCTGAGAGGCTCAGACCCCTCCCAAGTCCCACCGTGGCAACCGCCTGGAGGGGCCATCGGTTTCCGGAACGGAAACCCCAGGAGGAAGGGCTGGCAGCCGCCAGCAGCGTGTGTATGCTGCAGTGGGTCAGCCCGAGGCAGGACCTGCGTTCGGGGACCGAGCGGGAGGAGCCTCCACTCGGCGGGATGAGCGGGGTCTCCCTCGCCCTCCGTTACCTGTCTCCGTCTCGAAGGCGCTTGAACTGGGTGCTGAGCAGGCACATGAGGGTGGGGCCCAGCCGGCTGCCAGGAACCAGGTCTTCCACCACCAGGGCAGGGAACAGGTCGATGTTGAGGGGCGAGCCATACAGCCTGCAACGGGCACAGCTTAGGGGGCCCGCAGCAGCGTGCGTGCCAGAGCGGGACAGCAGCGTGAGCAGATGCCCTTTTTTATTCTACCACTAGTTAATTATTTCTCTAAAGCGTCTGACCATTACGTTTCAAGGAATTCTCCCTACTTCCTGTTATACGCGCATGAATACAGCACCCGTGTGCACCCAGATTCATTGATCAGGAGAAATTTGCAAAGCTCAACACACAGGCCGCACGTGTAAAGCATGCCCCCTGCACCAGGACGCGCATGCAAACCACGCCCCCTGCATGCCAGAAAACAGCGCCAGTGCTGGCCGGCCGTCACTTTCTCATAAACATGTGACAACAAATGTTACTAATACAGCTACAGGCATGTTTTCACTTTCTTTTTGGAGAGGTTTTTGCTATAGGGCGCGTGCGCTTGCCAGACAGACAGAGAGAGACAGAGAGACAGAAAGTGAGAAATCACCCCTCAGGGGGGATGGTCACGCTGCAATCCTTTCTCCTCCATTCTCCTCTCGGGATCTTGGGCATGCACACACACGCCCGGCATGACTTTAAGCCACCAGATCCGGGACTTGAACCACGTTGACTACATGGGAGTCCAGTGACATAACCATTATGTCAACTGCTGGTCCCTACAGGCATTTTTTAAAAGAATAAAATGGTATTGTATTTTCAAAATATATTCACCATAAAAAATCTTGCTAGGCAAAATACTAAGATCGAAGTGTTTGAGAACAAATATGCCCACTACGTTCTCATCTCCCGATTCCCTTAGAAACAGGCTCTGAGCGTGGAGATCAGCCACTCCCACCGCACTCTGACCCACAGAGTGGGGCCCACGAGGCGGCAGGTGACAGGTGACAGGTCCCAACTTCCGTCAGAGCGGGTGGTCCCACAGCTCTGATGCCGCCTAATCAGGGCTCAGATTGGTAACACTGGACCGACCTGTCCATGTGTGCGTGTGCGTGTGCGTGTGCGTGTGTGTCTGTCAGAGGATGCATGCGCTTGCCAGAGAAAGGAAGAACAACAAAACAGAAACAGGACACCCCTCCACGGGGCACGGTCTCCGCCTCTTCCCCTCGGTGTCTGTCCAGGCGGGATTCTCGGCACACAGGTGCACGTGCCTCGCGTGTTTCTCATTGGGGGCTGAGATCTGAACCACACGGACAAACCTTTATTCCATGAGCGACACCAACAGAGAGGGAAA